CCACTTTAAAATTCAAATTAAACACTTTCAAAATTTGCAATATGACCCAAGTTTAAATTTATAAGAAGGACCTCCCAATTTTGAAAATTGCAAGTAGGCCCTTTATTAAAATAATTACAATCAAACCCTGCTTTCAAAATTACAACCAAGAGCTTCTAATTTCGAGAATTACAGAAAGACCCCTCATTTTAAAATTGCTAACTAGACCCATGAAAGAATATTGCAAACAGGGCCTAAAATTTTAGAAATTGCAAGAAAGGCCCTCGCCTCCAATTCGCCCAAAACCTATCTGAAAAACCTAAAAAAGATCACCCAATTCTTGCTTCTTTTCCGGCGCTTCTTCTATATGGTTGGCGGCGCCGACAATAATCCACCCATCGCCTTCAAGCGACCGACTTTTGTACCCTCCCACAACAGCACGAAAACACTGTTGTAGAAATAGCAGACGTCATTGCGTAGTGCAGAAGCATCTACTGCCTCTGCCAACAGCGACAGTTCGCCGCTGCCTCGCCGCCAGTCCGATCCACCTCCTCCATTATTATTTTTTATTTTATTTTAAAATTAGATTCAAAAATATAAAAATTAAAATTTTCTAAATTGCTAAAAACCAGAAAAGAACAACAATCAACTTTTGATTGTTCTCAAAAAATTAAATCAATTTCTAACAAACACAAAGAATGTTCTGATACCACTGTTGGGAATCTACTTAAACGTGCACACGAAAATTAATATAAATTTCAATTCCCTCCATGGATCTCTTTGTGTTTAGATAGAAATTGTACCTTTTATGAGATCTGAAAACTCATTTGCTATTCTTTCATTCCAACGATCTTGATTCGCCACTCACAACTGTCCAATTGTCCAGCCTCCAACGGTAATTCACACAGAGAACAAGTTGTAGGATTAGGGTTTTCTTCTTGTGCTAACAAGAAGAATGAATTTTTTCTACATATCCATGACCCTAATCACTTATTTATATAAGCCTAAACGGGCTTGGCCTGACCGAATCCAAAATTTAATTAACCTGTTTAATTAAATTCGGTCCGTGAATTAATTTGGACCTATAAATAAGCAACCAAATTAATTAATTTATCTAACCCTTGTTAAATTAATTAATTGAAAAATTACAATCTTCTAGTTCATCTTTTGTGTGTGATCCATCAGGTTCCCGATCACGATACCTAACGATGTGAATTATTGTTTTGATCTAATAGAAAATCGATAAATTAAAACATCATTTTGATTTATCACTCACGTTCGTTGTCCCAAATTAACATCTAGCAATGTGTCGGAGTAATACATGTGACCAAAAATGTTACATGATATGACAAAATCAAATTCGTTTGTTTACCGTGAAACTATAATCTCTTTGTCAATATGATCCGATCAATTATGAGATATGGAAGTATGTTAATCTCAATTATCGGTCATATCTTCCATTATACTATTGAGTCAATATAAGTCAAAATTTCTTTTCGACTTATGAGTACACCTTGGCTAAGGATTTCGTTATCGACTTAATTGAATGAAATGCAGATCATAATCTCTTACTATCTAAGAATGACGAATCCTCTATTAGTCATTCACAACCTACATACAACTCTTGATGTACCAAAACGATGTCGTATTAGCAGCCTTTTGCAGAGCAACATCCAACACCGTCAAATTATGACTGTCCTCATATAAGGCACCATGATGACCTCAAGTCAAAGGACCAATTCCATTACCGAACGTTAGAGATTAATCACTGACACTCAGATAGCTATCATGTGGAATTTCACAGTGGGTCTCCAATGTTTTGTTCTATAACAAAAAATCAACGTATTCATTTAAGTGTCATCACACTTTAACTTGTGAGATCAGCTACTTACTTTACAAGTAAGAAATGCCGCACGTAATGGTCTATCCGTAATAATGATATCCGTATCTCATTATTACTTACGACCACGGACGATTTAAAATTCAATCATACGTAATTTATATCTCACAATCACAATTTCTTGTGATTAACTAATTATCAACATTTGAATCTAAGGACTCTATTATTTAATTTGATTGAATATTAATTAAATAATAGATCTATCATAAAATTGCATCAATTGTATATTAAAAGTATTTATGTCTAATGTTGATTAAACCTAAGGCATAACAATTACACCGTGAACATATAATTCTATTATGTAGGACTAGCCTTGTACGAGTTGAGCTAGAATGTTCCTATTATAAATATGATAGCAGTTAGTTATTATTACAATAGGATTTTTGTTTCCTATTAGAATAGAGTTTTCTTTCCTTTTTAGGATTTTAGTTTTCTTTCCTTTTAGGATTTTGGGTTTGTTTCCTTATATTGATAAGATAAGGAAATTATTTTGCCCATATAAACAAAGTCTTTTATATACTTTTCAATTAACCTATTCATTACAATAAAAATATTCTCTACATATTTGCAAGATTGCTTATTATAAACTGTGATTTTGTTATCAGTTTAGATGAAGGTTGTTGCATAGTCAAAACTATTTGACTAGTAATCCTTAATGGTCCTACATTTGTTAGTTTGACTCAACCCTGACCACTGAGCTACCCGTCAGGGTTGAGTCAAGGAGATTAAAAAAATATTTTATACTGGATTGATATGTTAAAAAAATCACTATAAAAAAAAAAGAAATTTAATTTTTTTTCCCTTCAAAAATTTCATGGGCCTAGGGGATGGTCTAAGCTTTGCCTTCCCTTTGACTTAGTGCTATGTGTTCATCACTACTTATAGATTGATTTACATATAGATGATATGTGACAATAAGATTTTGTGACGTGGATTCTCAAGTTAAAAGCGTTTGAGCATGTTCATTTTTGACAACATCATCGTAATTTTTCAATTTTAGTGGTGCCATCAATCTCTTGCCTTATTGAAGATGCTGCTGCTGCATCTGAGATAGTTGTACCTAGGATGGACTCAAGGATGCTAGGGGGATCAAATCTAGGCATCTGAAGAGAACCTCAGCCAAATGGGAATTCAGATGGTTGGTAGTGCGCTGCAAGCACCTTTCATTGATCCAATGTATCTTCAACACTTGAGGACAGCTTAGTATGCTGCAGCTCTTAGTGACCCTTTCGCAGATAGAAGTTGTATGGGTAATTCATACATGAACTTTGCTTCAAAAGGCTTATTTTGGCACCCTATTATCACAACAAAAGTCGCAATATGGTGTTCCATTGTTTGGAAAGACCAGTTTTTCTACTCCTTATGGTTACTATAGTAATCCTGCATTTGGAATTGGGTCGAATCCCGAAGGTCCCCCTCTTATTCCAAGTTCTCCTGTAGGACCTGGTAGTCCTATGCGGCATAAAGATTTCAACATGAGATTACCTGGTGGGGTGAGAAATGTAGCTGGGGTATGATGGGAACTTGGCACTTGGACAACTTGGAGAACACATTTGCTTCCTCTTTGCTAGAGGAGTTTAGGAGCAACAAACCCAAATGTTTTGAAATTTCTGAGATTTTGAGGTCATGTTGTTGAATGTAGGCATATATTTCTCAAGAATGCTCTTTTCACCTTATGATTGCTGAAACCTTGTACTTTCGAATCTTTACATTGTTATTAGTGTTGATGGGTATAGAAGCCAAATCATACAGAAAAAACTTGAAAAGGCCATAGCAGAGAAGAAGAACATGGGTTTCCATAAAAAATTTCCTCAAGCTCTTACTCTGATAACTGATGTGTTTGATAATTATGTAATCCAGAAGATACCAACATTTTTGTCCTTTATTAGTTGATATTTACAATTGTCTACATTTATACGCACAAATAATCCCTTCAACTTTTTAGACTCCATTATTTTGTTTGTTGGTACTAATTTTATTTCTTTCCAGTCTTTTGAACATGGAATGCAGCCTAGAGAAGAGAATTAGGTAGCAAGCTTTTTGCACATATACTTACACTTAGCCTTCAAATGTGTGGTTTTCGGGTAATACAGAAGGTAACATCAAATTTACATTTTGTACAACTTTTTGTTTGCTGTATTCGTTCATGCTTCCTGCTTGTGAAATGTAATTTCTCCAAATGAGCTATTTCATATTCTCCTAGATAATTTTGGTATTTGAATCATATATTTATAATAATAAACTACTATAGTTAACAGAAGTTGTGATTTTATGGATATCTAATTTGTAAAGTATTAAAAAACTTAGGCTGTTCAAGCTGTTAATGTGAATGAGAAGATCAAAATGGTGGAAGAGCTTGATGGACATGTCATGCGTTGTGTGCATGATCAAAATGGTAACCATGTCATCCAAATGCATCAAATGCATTCCAGAGGAGCACATCGAGTTTATTATCTCAACAATTTTTTTGACCAAGTTGTGTCTCGTTCTACTCATCCATATGGGTGTCGTGTGATATAGGTTACATAACGTCTTAACATACTTTTATCATTTTACATATTTTAGTTTGCTCTTTTTTTATTTTATTAATTCCGATAGTGATGTTTTATTTTCCAGAGTATTGAAGCACTGTCAGGATACAAAAACTCAGTGTAAAGTTATGGAAGAGATTCTAGGGTTCATAAGCATGATGGCACAGGAGGATCAGTATGGCAATTATGTCATAAGGTTGGCAAAGTTTTTTAATATATTAATTTATCATCTAAATATTGTTAGCATTGTGTCTACATTGCTAAGTTCTGTCTGGAAATATTTGAAGTCAAATATGTTGTATCAAAAGTTTGGTTAAGGATGTATAGATTTCTCATGCTCTTTCCATTAGCAACGTAGAGTTTGCTCACATCCACTTCAGATGAAAAATTGATGTATTATGCATCGAATGCTTAAAAAGAAGTCATCAAAGAAAAAAAGAGATATAAATCCATTTTGCAAACACTCTAAAATTACCTTGAAAATAACTAAGCCAGTGCATTGTATGAGCCAGAGGACTAGTTCTCTTATAAGAGCTGCTTGGGGAGTTACTGTTCATTCTTGTAACCCTCATTTTCACATTTGGTTGACATAACTGTTTCTAAACAGGTTTGCACTACTGAATACAAAATATCTTCTTCATATATTACTTTTTGGCATTTTCTGCAGAGAAAAAATGAAAGATTGACGATCCTTTTTCTTTGAACAAAAATCCTAGCAACAGTTGATCTCTCTCCTTTAACATTTTACTCCAAAGGATGTTCCCAAAGCTTCTTCTGAAGGTACCGTAAGCTGCTTTTTGGAGGTAATATGAGGATTTTGGGCTAACTAAATTTTAAGGATACAGGAATTGCAACGAGAACGAGGAGCCAGGTACGAATTTTTTACCCAATTCTTTTATGCGAATTTCAAGAAGTGATGGAAAGAAAGTTGGGAATTTTTGTTCTGTGGTTTTCATATGTTTAATTTGGTTTTCGATGTAATTGTTTTTTTGTTTTAGATCGTATAATGGAAAACAAATGGTTTTTATGTGTATTTGATCTAATGGGATCTGATTTTAGTTATTAAAAAAAAAAAAATTAATTTCTTTTTTATCATATTGGGAAGAAAATACATTCATATTTAGTTTCAATGCTGTCGTGCCCAGTTAAATTTTCTTTTTAGGGTTTTTATAGACTGATTTTCATAAAATCTATCTTCATTTTGCTGAAAATTTCGATACATTTTTTGGAAAAATATAAAATACAGCTAATTGTCATCTGTGTTTATTTTTTCAATTTTTAGATGCTTTTGTTTGCTTAGAATTTTTTTTTTTTTTTTTTTTTTTTTTTTTTTTTTTAATTTTTAGATGATTTTTTTTGCTTAAAATTTTTTTTTTTTTTTTTTTAGTTTCATATGTTTGAAGGTTATTAATTAAACTAGAACCTTTGTGTTTGCATTTGTCCATTGGGCATTTGGATTGGTTATGTAGATTGACTGAGTTAAATTTGTGAATTTCAGCGTGAAATAAAGGGAACTTGTACGCTGCACCAGATTAACCATGTTGTGTCTGAAAATAGCGATACTAACAGCACTAATCATCATGTCTTTTACTAATATTTTTGAATAAAATAGTTCTTGTTGAAACTACCCTCATTAAAGGTTGCAAACATGCCTACTGGTTTGTCCGAAGGTCTTCCAAGTTGTTTTTGAAGGTATGATTGAGGGTATGTGGCTAAATAAATGGAAAGAGCAGAGCAATTGCGAAGAGAACAAGGAGAAAGAGGATTATAGCGGCTACAGCTTTTGCGACTCCAATTAATGACAACTGAGGTACTGTACCACCAGTAGCGAACGAGAGTAGGGAGGTTTGAGAGCGGGAGGACAGTGTTTTGAAGCACCCTAAAAGGAGAGAACAAGTGGGAGAGAGGCCAATGGATGATTATGGTAGCGGCAGAAAAAAAAGTCAAGATTAATGCTGACTAATCAGCAGCTATTCCTCTTTCTGAAAGGTTGAGACCATTGTCTCGTAAATTCTTTATGCATTCACATATATAAGATCTTTTGGGGTGTTAATTTTTTAGATTTTTTGTATTGCGCATGTATTCAGATAGATAAAACAAAAGGGGTTTTGGGTGCTATAATTTTTGAATTTTGTTTTGTCAATAAGAATTCTGGGATGTCAACACTCACTGTTTTTTCTCCTTGCAAGGTACGGTAGTTAAATGTAGTATCTCATGACGCCTCAGTAAAATCTCTATGTGTTTTCTCAAATTTTGGAAATTGGCTGTATTTTAAGTGTAGATTAATGTATTATTAAGAATAACAGGCAAAAGGAAAAACAGATATCGTCATTTTCGCGTCACTTTTTCATGTAGATACATATAATTTATTAATAAAAAGTTTTTGTTAGATCCTTTCCGAATGCTAATGTGTTAGCCCTCTTATTTTTCAGGTAAGTAATCTAGGAGATAAACTAAAGCTTTCTTTATCCCCATCAAAATCGTGCATCAACCAGTGGTCTTGGAGTTCCCTTTGATGATAAAAATTTGGTGAAGGAAATCAGTTTAGCAACCGTTTTGCCACTGAAAAGAAACTTCAACAATGATCAGATAAAATTAGTTCGTATATCCCATCCTTTTCCCCCCATGGCGCTGTCTATAGTATGGTTCAAGGTGAGGTATGTCTTTTACATTTACGGTGCTCATAGTCAAATCTCATGTTTTAGCTCTCTTATAGTGCATGTTTGGTTAAACTAAATAACGTTTTTGGAAGTGAAAGCTCGATATTATTCGGTTTTGGAATTTATATGAAGTGATAAAGTATCGAGTTTTCCATGTCAATTGTGATTTATCTGGTGATGACACTTTTTGCAACACTAGATGGATTCACATTAGGGTGCAAAATCAAATAGCATTTGTATTCAATGATAAGTTACCATTCGATTATCTCAAAAATCTACTTTTCGTTCATCTATTAGCCGAAGAGTCTAATTTCTATATCCCCTTTGCCTTAAAAGAGAGGATGCCAACATTAATATTCATCTTGAGGTAGAGTTTTCACACTAAACTGGTTCCCTACTGTAGTTAAACTCGTTCAATATTTATTTCCACTGACAAAAGGCTTTAATTATTCCTACTGTTCATTCACAGAAATGAAATTAATGCGACAGCTTTATTGCTTTCCATGATTGACTTAAATAAGTAATTTATTGTAGCTCTATGTTCATTCCCTATTATTTATTTTTATTATCTATTATCCCTACTACAATAAAATAAAAGAGACAATATGCCAATTACTGTTCATTCAGGTCATATTTTGAGTTTTTACGTCCAAAAAAAAAAATAGTTTACGTTATACCACATAATTTTTTTTTTTAAGAAAATGATGTAAATGATCTTGAGAAAATTATCGTGAAAAAATAATAAACATTAATAAATAATTGATTTTTTTTTAAGAAAAAAGACGAGTTTTACGCATTTTTTAACACACACGTTTGATATACGTTTAATTAATTTTGATATTCATTTAGATCATTCAATGCGCCCATGACTTAGTTCTGGAAATGAGTTTCGAGAGAATATAGAAGATTTATGCATTCGACTACCGTACAATCGTCGATGAATTTATAAAGTTAGCATGTTATTGAAATTCTTAATTTTTTAAATGATGTCTCTTTTGACATTAATAATTTTTTTAAATTTATTAGGAAATTTTCTAAAAAATTCTTGTCTTGTCGCGAAAAAATAATAAACATTAATAAAATAATTGATTTTTTAAGAAAAAACGAGTTATAAGCATTTTTTAATACACACATTTGATGTACGTTTAACTATTTTCGATATTCATTTAGATCATTCGATATATTTATGATATAATTCTCGAAATGAGTTTCGAGAGAATATAGAAGATTTATGGTAGATTTTTATATAAAAAAAAAAACTAAATAAAGCACTTAGTCAAAAAATTGGCAAAAAAATAAATAAATAGAGCAACTCCACGCATCACGAAGCAAATGCTCCGTGATGGGAGCAATTTTGCTCCGTGCATCACGAAGCAAATGCTCCGTGATGCACGAAGTTACTCCGTTAGGCAACCTTTTTTTATTTTTTTATTTTATTTTTTTATCTATTTATTTTTTTTAAAGATGATGTTCGGTGTCAATTTTTTTTATGATGTGATTTATTTAGTTTTTTTTTTTTTATAAAAATCTATCATAAATCCTTATAAATCTTCTATATTCTCTCAATGTTTATTTCATAACTATATAATAGATATATCAAATGATCTAAATGAATATCGAAAATAGTTAAACATACATCAAACGTGTGTGTTAAAAAATGCGTATAACTCGTCCTTTTTTCTTTAAAAAAATTAATTATTTTATTAATATTTATTATTTTTTCGCGGTACTTTTCTCAATATAATTTCCTTTTTTCATTGGTGATTGATATATTTTTTATACAAATCTATTTTACCCTTATATGACGTGACACAGAGTATATTAAATCATATATATTGTTTATTTTCTAAAAGTAGTCACGATAAATCAAAGTAAAACTTAACACAATGTTAAAAAAAATTAATACTCAATCAAAAGGATGTCAATTAATTTATTTGATGATATTGAATATTTTAGATATATATAAATTTTGGAGGATTAAATTCAAATATATCATAATTGGGTGATTAAATAAAAATCTCAACCCTATTTAAGTGACAAAATATTATACCGTAGCTCAGTTTGTGTTTGGTTCCATCAAATTTTTTTCTCATTTTTCTCTCTTTTATTTTCAATCGTAGAATCTTCCATAAAATAATATTATAGGTAAATAATAATAAAAATCATTAAACGATTGGATATTGAAAAAATAAAAACAAAAAAGATTCGATTAATTACACAATTTAATTATATTGAATATAGTAATCATCAAATAAGTCCTTTATATGTAAAATAATGTTTGATATATAAATTATGAACTCCAATAATTTGGGTTTTTAATCCATGCATCAAGGGAACATTTATCATATTCCCGAAAAATACATTTCAATTATAGCAACACAAAATTGAGGCCAACTAATTTTTCATCTTGATATTTTAACATCTGAAATTTTTTTATATATTAAAGAAATTCGATCGTTTTTAGAAAATTTTTTCTTCTTGTTACTTTTTTCTCTCGATCAATTAATTTTTTAAATAATTTAATAAAATTTTTGACGTCATTTAGAAAAATTCCTAATAAACTTTTAATTTTTTTTTAATGTCAAAAGTGTGTCATATATGAAAATTACATTTCTATTTATCATTTTAAACAATTAATCAAATTTATAGATTTATTAAGAGAACGAAGTAGATATTTTGACACGTTAATAACTTAATATTACCTAAAAAATGACACGTGAAAACATAGTTCTCTTAAAAGAGGCAATCCTAGAATCATTGTTCATTTCTGATGCCCTCGTTTTCACACTGTAATGGTGATGGCAATTTACCCCACCCCGGGCGGGCCGGGGCGAGGATGCCCCTCCCCAAATCCACCACGTGATTTTTTTTTTTTTTTTTAATAGAGTTCGTCTATGCAACATATTTCAAAATCGCTTTTTTTTTAAAACTTATTTTCTATCACAATTTTTTTAATAACATAATTTACATGTAGACCTATAATTTTTTCATACTTTTTATTTACACATTCTCTAAAAATCATTTTACACTATAAGTAATTTTATCCCAAAACAAAAACTTAAATTTACATAAAGTAAGAGTATTCTTTATTAAAAGTTCAACTTAAACATTATCCGTATTTTATTAAACTCGGAATTAAAAAAAAAAATTAAACGGGACAAGAAAATTGCCCCGCCCCGCCCCGTTGCCGTCACTACACTGTAATCATTTAGTTACTATTCATTAACTGGTTCCTCTAAATATCTCTTATATACCCCCCCCCCCCCCACTCCTCGGGGTACTTTTAAAATTGATCTAGTCAAATGTTCTTATTTTCACTTTGACTTTTAAAAACTTGAAAATTGTCACATTAATCTCTTGAATGGTAAAAGACAGAGATGCCCTTAAATATATTATATAATTACAAAATATTGGATAGTTTAAAAGATATTATTACCTTTTTAGTTAATAATTAAAAACCAAATACTTCTCCACTTATAAAAATGCAGAACGAGCCTCGAACACAAAAAAACTCTCATTTTTCATCTACTTGAACCTTAAAATATCAAAAAACTTTCAAACCCGGAAGCCAGAATTTTTTTCAGATTAATTACTTCAAATCGGTAAGTATATTTACACATGCTTAATTTCGATTTCAATAAATTGGTGTCCGTTTGAGTAGTTAAATAACACATTAGTTAGTAGAAATTTTTTTAAACAGATCTATAATTTTTTTTTTTAGAATTATAGAAAAATAAAAAGTCATATGCAAAATAAACAGTCCGACGATTAACTGTGGGATGTTAATGAAAACTGTTAGACAGCAGATAGCAAACATATGACTGTCTAACAGTCGACCGATGGCTATTAGAAACAGCCGACGGTCGACTGTTAGTCGGCTGTTTCTAATTAACAGCCGACTATTAGTGGTAAAACAATCCACAGTCGGCTATTTTTTCGACTGTTTTACGAATTTTTTTATTATTAATTTCTGTTTTGGTAATTGTCTTATAATTTTAATTACAAGTTGATTAAATAAATAAATATATGAATTTTTGTTGTTGTAATTGATTTAAAAATTCTATATCGTCATGCAGATATGATAATCCTGGTTTGTTATTTCGGTGATTTCCAACTGAATGAAAGTAATAGATGGAAATAGAGATGGATGAGTGATGTATGTGGTTGTATTGCAATTCCCGTAATAGAGAGTACATATGCGGAAGTGTACCGGGATTTGCAAAATAAGCTTAATGTCGATTCTTCTCAGTACGATATGCAACTGAGATATTTATTCAATGGTTATGGGGATTCATCCATTCCAATACCACCTATATTTGTTACTAATGATGCTGAATTGAACTATCTATTAGAATTGAATAAAATGCATAGGAATCCGACTGGCCTTGGCGTGACTTTAGTTAAGAAGGATATTGTCGAAAGTGAACGCGAAGATTCAGATAGAGCGGATAATAATGATCGAGATTTTTGGGAGACAGTGGAGATAGTTCCTGTAGATGATGTGGTTATTCCCGAGACAGTTGCTACTGATCGTGAAGTCCCTGTTACGCACAAAATTTTGTCGACAGTTGAGGACGATGAAAATATAAATGATTTTACAAATGAAAATTTAATTGCTTTATCCCGATAGAGACCTGAGCGGGGTGGAAGCTCAGGGGGTGGAACAAGTGGATCGTCCTCCAATTATTCGCGTGTGGCTCCCGATGATGAGGATTTGTATGTTGAGCAACTATTTGAAACCAAGAAAGATTTGCAAGAAGCTGTGCACCGGATAGCATTAAAATATATCTTTGAGTTCAAGGTAAAGAAATCAACCAAGTCATTGTTGACAGTTGCTTGGGTTGACGACAATTGCAATTGGTGCTTGAGAGCGACTAAGATGGATACGAATGAGTGCTTTGTAGTTCACAATGGGAACATACTTGCGAAGTGGGAATTTGTCTAAATAATCACAGGCAAGCTCGAACATGGTTTATTAGTTGAAAGATAATGCACAAGTATCAGGATCCACAGACAATCTACCGACCTTCGGACATCATTAACGACGTCCGTTGAGAGTATGGAGTGGTCATGAGCTACCAGAAGGTCTGGAAGGCCAAAAAATGTGCGTTTGAGGATTTAATGGGATCAGTCGAGGAGAGTTATGCTAAATTGGGCAGGTATTGCCATAACATGGTGAGAACTAATCCTGGTTCGGCATTTTTTATTAAGACGGGGTGGTGATTGTTTTAAGTAATTCTTTAT